CAGTGAAAACTTTTCTTTTTGTTGCATTCTGTTGTTGAAACCAATTAGCTCCAAGAAATAGGAACTCCACACCTCGGTGTAGCGGTTTCACCGCAAACGATGTCTGAGACGTCGATATCTGCCAGTTCTACAGAAAATGTGGACGCTTTAAACTCAAACCAAACTACTGAAAATAATTGGGAACTCGTTACAGGAAGAAAACGCTCAATGGACAATAACAGAGACCCAAGAAAAGCTAAAAAGGTAAGTGAAGTTACAACAGTAACCACTAATAGTTTTGAAGTTTTAACTAACATTAGTGACGAGTCTGAAGCTACCACTAAGCAACCAGTTTCTGTAAAACCGCCCCCTATCCACTTGAATGATGTACAGAACTACACCGAACTGGTCACATTTCTCCAAAATGTAGGAGGTTTGAACAGCTTTAACCTAAAATCCACATCAAGAGGAGTAACCGTATATCCTGAAAACTCTGACACATATAGACGTATAGTAGCTAACTTAAGACAGGTAGGTGCCGATTTTCATACCTATCAGTTAATAGAAGATAGAAATCCAAGAATCGTATTAAAAAACTTACACCATGCTACTCCAATTGAAACCATAAAATACGAATTAAAATGCCTAGGCTACGATGCCACAAGTATTGTGAACGTTATTTCCAGATACAAAAATCCACTTCCCATGTTCTTTATCGATATCTCTAAAGCCACATTTAATGAAAAAATTTTTGATATCAAATTTTTATATTATACTAGAGTGAAAATCGAAGAGCCAAGAAAGAAAAGAATGATTCCACAGTGCACCCGTTGTCAGCAGTATGGCCACACAAAGGCTTACTGCAATCACTCCCCGAAGTGCGTGAGATGTGGCCAAGGACATGATAGCACCGTCTGCACAAAGACAAGAGAGACCGCAGCAACATGCGCGAATTGTAGCGGATCCCATCCAGCAAATTATAGAGGTTGTGCAACTCTAAAACAACTGAGGGAAGTACGCAATCTCCGTAAAAATATACAAAGTCCCCAAAAAGCACAAACTAGCGCACCCCCAGGTATAGACGAGTTTCCTTCTCTTCCGCAAAGTCAGCATACCGCAAATTCAGGTTCTTCAAAACCCGATTCCCAATATCCAGGACCAAAACTGCGAACTTCTCCTTCAGAAGTCCCAGAAAATCACCTTCACCAGCCAAAGCATCCAGAAATGAAAAAGGGCATTACTCAACCGCCACTACCGACTTACAATCACCCGGCTTCAGCTCAGCTCTTCAACTTGGTAAGTGGATTGAATAACCTCATCCAGCCTCTTTTCAGCCTTCTCCAAGAACTGTCTCACGTTGCACAAGCCTTATCCTCCAGTTATGGCTACTAATCGGCTGACAGTGGGCTCCATGTCCGTTCTTCTCTGGAACGCAAATGGTATAAACCAACACAGGACTGAACTTGACATGTACATACATGAAAAACGGACTGACATTGCTCTCATCACTGAAACACACTTGACTCCACATTCTAAATTTTACATTCCAGGCTACAAAATATATAGAACTGACCGCCCTGATAAGACGGCACATGGCGGTACGGCAATACTGATTAAGCAATCACTAAAACACAACCCTTTACAATTACCCATTACACCTGACATACAATCCACAGCAATTACTCTGTATACCCAGCACCATACCATTACCTTCGCTGCAGTGTACTGCCCTCCGAGATACGTGCTAACATCTGCAATGTTTTACAATTTTTTCCAACATCTCGGTCGGTGTTTTATTGCAGGTGGTGATTATAATGCCAAACATCAGTCCTGGGGAGCACGACTCTGTACTCCTAGAGGAAGAAATCTAAAGTCTGCCATCGATCAGCTTTCATTAAACACGATCTCACCTAATACACCTACTTACTGGCCAACTTCAAGACAGAAAACACCAGATTTACTTGACTTTTTCATTACTAAAGGACTCAGGACAGTGCCGTATACTGTAACTGCAAGCTCTGATCTTTGTTCTGATCATTCTCTTCTCAGTTTGGTACTATGCGATGAGCCTCGTACTGCATCAAAAAAACCAACACTTACAGATAGGATAATCGATTGGAAAGCTTACAGCGACTACTTAAATTCGACGCTATCAATCCCAATGTCCCTTAAGACCGAAGAGGAACTCGAAAAAGCTGTTGATAAGTTCACAATCAGCTTACAACAGGCTGTATGGTCATCATCTGTACCAAGACCTAGCAGAAATACGTCTCTTCCAATCTATCCGCAGTACATTAGAGACTTGATCAGAGCAAAGAGAAGAGCGCGCAAAGTGTGGCAGACTGGTCGACTTCCATCTGACAAACGGACTTTCAATAGACTTAACAATGAACTTAAACGACAGATTCAGAATTTTAAAAGAACGATCTACGACAATTACCTCAAAAATCTTTCGACTGACGATGGAAGCTTATGGAGACAGACTAAGAAACTTGTAAAGCATTGTGAGGTGTCATCACCACTCCGAAACGTAGATGGTTCCTGGGCTGTGTCAGACCTTGAAAAATCTGAGCTCTTTGCCAACTATCTTTCTTCTGTTTTCATACCACATACTGACTTCTCTAATACTGATCACGAAAGACATGTACAAAACACTTTAGACATTCCTTTACAACTGTCATTACCTCCACTTTGCTTCACTCCCACTCAAGTTGCAGAACAAATCAGACAGTTACCTAAAAAGAAAGCTCCCGGTCATGACCTGATAAATGCTCAAGTGCTCCAGAAAATGCCAAGGAAAGCTCTAGTATACCTAACATCAATTTATAACGCAATACTCAGAACGACTAAATTCCCCTTACAATGGAAATACTCATTCATAAAAATGATTCACAAACCTAACAAAAACACTGACTTTCCTTCATCATACAGACCCATCAGCTTGCTCCCATTATGCTCTAAAATCTTTGAGAAACTTCTCTACAAACGACTTCTTGGCATACTGACTACTGAAAACATAATACCTGAACATCAGTTTGGATTTCGTTCACACCACTCAACCATTCATCAGCTACACCGAGTGACAGACTACATTGCGACAGCACTAGAGCACAAATTATATGCAACAGGAGTATTTCTGGATGTTGCTCAAGCGTTCGATAGAGTCTGGCATCAGGGACTTCTTTTCAAACTTAAGACTATACTCCCTCCAACCTACTATCTTATTCTTCAATCTTTTCTTTCTGACAGATTTTTCTCTGTTTGCCAAGGTACAGAACTATCTACCATCAAACCAGCCCTAGCAGGGGTGCCTCAGGGGTCAGTACTCGCTCCTCTGTTGTATATTATTTACACATATGATATTCCAGATCCTCTCTATACTCTGACCGCGACTTACGCAGACGATACAACAATCTTGACAAGACATCAAAATTCAGCATACGCCTCACAGACTTTACAATATCACCTAAACAATTTCTACGACTGGTGCAAACTCTGGAAAATTCGACTCAACCTTGACAAATCACAACATATCACTTTTACCCTTCGACGTGAAACTTGCCCCCCTATTTACCTTGACAATATCCAAATTCCTCAGACAGACAAAGTTCAATATCTTGGACTGACCTTTGACAGAAGAATGACATGGGGCCAACATATCAAAAACAAAACAAAAACTTTAAACCTAAGACTACGCCTATTGTACTCACTCCTTGCAAGAAATTCGAAATTAAAACTTAGACAGAAATTGAATACATATACTTACCTACTCAAGCCTATTTGGACCTACGCTTTACAGATATATGGGACAGCCAAAAAGACTCACATACGTAAATTACAGACTTTTCAATCTAAAACTTTCAGGACTATTACCAAAGCTCCCTGGTACGTCAGTAACATTACTCTACATAAAGACTTACAGATGCCAACAGTTAACGACCACATACGAACATACTACAAACGATTTCATAATAACTTACACGGACATACAAACTCATTGATTCGAGGCATGGCCACAACTAACATGCCCGATAGCACCCGAAGGAGGCTTAAAAGAAGCTGGATGAGGGATCTCCTCCACTAACTAGAAATATTACGCTCAAGACAGGAAGGACGCCGCTGGGTACTCCTCTCCCTCACGCCTATTCCAAGACCAATCTCTTCATCTTGACATCACACTCGCTGATTGTCGGAACTTCTGACAGGTGTGAGTTGAAGAATCAAGTCAAAAAAAAAAAAAAAAAAAAAAAAAAAAAATAAAAATTCTGTAAAATCTTTACTTGAACAGTTCCAAAGGAAAATGTTCTAGTTCAAAAATAACTGAGTTTTATTGGGAGGATTAACTAAATAAAACTAAAATATTTGTAATTTTGAATTATTAGATTGAGTTAACAGACATTTAATGTTAAGCAAGCTTTACAGAACAGTACGCATGTTTCAAGTTAAATAGAATTCTCATTCTCATTTATGTTGAAGGAAAAAAAAATGCTTATGTAGTTAAAGTTTGTAATGCTAAGATTTCTTTTTAGTTATTTTAAAACTTAAAAAAATGTATATATATATATATATATATATATATATATATATATATATACATTTTTATATATATATATATATATATATATATATATATACATATATATATATAAGTGTAAATGAATATATTTCAACAATTATAGAGAACAAACGGAATGAACAAATATAATATAATGGAATGAATGTAACGACATACATCTTCGTTTAAAATGCATCTTCAAAGTAATATACGGTTATATATATATATATATATATATATATATATATATATATTATTAGATAACTTAATAGCCACATTCGCACAGAACTCTTTATGGGGTTTTTATTGTCAAAGGAATTTAAAAGTAAATATTTAACAAATATTCCCATTATTAAAAAATTGTTTAAGTATAAGTTAATACTACGCAATTTCAAGAACAGTTGCATGTAGAACGAGTCATCGTTTGCCAAACACTTGTATAAATATTATTATAAATTTAAAATTAGACACTGTTAGATTCATTCTGTTTTGTCAGTTCTGAATTTATTAGTCTAGTATGTACTACCAATATGAGCCATCCAACAAAACATTCGCTCCCATCGTGGAAAGGTAAGTCGAAATCATTTATTAATATGCCCAGCAATCTGGCAAACGCACCTAGACCGCTTATAAATATTCAGAAATGGTTGTTTAATTTATTGAAATTTCAAACTACGCAATAATCATAATTAAATAAAATGTGTGTCAATATTATACCTATAATTACAATAGGGATCGAATCTATACGGGTTGATAACAAGAGCACAGAAAAATAATATTTGAATTCCGTCAAGTTTTTTTTTTTTTTGTTATATGTTAAAGTTATCTGTCAATTTTTTTTTTTCTGTTTTCAGGTAAAAATGATGAAGATACGAAATTCGACGAGAGGTACAGATATGAAGAACCGAGAGACCCTCCTCGAATTGTTGGTTTCACTTTCAAAAATTCAAAAAGAGTTCTTGAATCGACCTGCGACGAACATAATGATACACCTTATGGAATGTCACCAGGAAAATAGTTGATCACTGTTGGTGAGTGGTTTAAGTATAATACAAAAAATATAAGGTTAAGGTATAAATTCATAATATTATAAATAATATTGATATTAAATTCAAAATCTAACTACATTGAAAAAATATTTCATTTCCATATTGTTCTGTATTGTAGGACTTTGTTATCATCTTAGATTTAATTAAATATTTTATTGCTTTTTATATGACAGACGGGTATTACATAAATTCTCATATCAATACATTAAGTTTATTTCCCATCTTCAACTATAAGATTATATATATCCAGAAAGCTCGATTATAGTTTTTAATAATATAATTCAGCTTTTACGATGGAGAAACGATTGAAGATTTAATTAATAATTATCAACAAAATGCTCCATTATTTTCGTCGAAATCCCGGTCGGATGTCAGTAAAAGAATAACCTAAGTTGTTTTAGTAAATTATCAACAGAATTTAAATATTGGAGCACAAGAGATTTTTGTTTGATTTAAATATAATTTAGATTTGTTCACTGTATACATGTTGTTATCTTTATTAATTTTTTTTGTCGAAAAGAATATTAACATACAGATATTGGGTGAATTAAATAGCTTAAAGGATCAATTAAAATATTATGTTTTATCATTTTATTTCTTTTGTTTAATAAAATAAAAGGAATAGTTTTAGTTTTTAGACTTACTTTTATATTTAATGAATTGCAAGGGAAACAAAATAATATTGCTATGGTTCGTCAAATGTGATTTTATTATTTGTTATAAATAAGATTCTGTTGTCCAACTATAATCAAAAAATAAATATTATTTCACATTCACTAGTTTTGATAGTTTTATTTATATAATAATCATTATTGTATACTTAATACTATGTGGTGAGTTTCAGATGGATATGACATCAAGTCAAGAAATTCTTGAAGTCTTATTCAATGTTGGTAAAGCTGCTAAAAAGGGTTCAGAAGCTGACTTTTATTTTATATCAATTTCTTTATTTAGGGGTTATTTTAGTTTTCCTAGTACATTTTTTTTAGTGCAGAATAAAACCATTTAAAATGAAGAGATGTGATTAATTCCCACTAGTATAAAAATATGTAATAAATTAAAGTAATATTAATTATATGACGCAATGTCCGGTTGACAATGATTAACTCATATTTTCAAAAATCAGATAATGTTGTTTTTGTCTGGATTTTTAGTATAATTTACGTCGCATATTTTATATGCTAAATGACGCATTTTGGCATACAAAAACGACAGAGGAAAAATGGTACGAAAAAAATAAGTAATTTAACTTAGTATAATAATAAAAAATCGTCTTATATTATGTTTGTGAGCTGCATTGATTTAAGATAAAACACTAACATTGTCATAAAAGGTAGATTTTTTTTTTGGAAATAGCGTTCCTAGAAGTTCACATTACTACACATGAAAACAAAAGTAATCGTACTAGGTATTGTTACAATTAACATGCGTGAGAACCCCCATAGGAGGCATTAAAAAAGCTGGATAAGGGATCTCCTCGCTTAGCTATAAATAATAAATTAAAGAAAGGAAACGATGCCGCTGGGCATTCAGCTCCCTCACGCCTATCAGTGTCTTGCTACTATTATTCTTTCCTACAGCAGACACACTGGTTGTCTACATTTCTGACTGGTGCAGGTGAAGAGAATCTAGCATTAATTCCCCGCCATCTCCTCTGACTTATAACCTAAAAGGCGAGGAAGGGGAGACAAAAAAAAAAAGAATGGTGTGGTTGCAAAATTCAATGTGAGAATAAAAAATTATAGTTAAGTATATTATATTTAAAAATAATTTTTAGTGATTAAAATACTATTAAAGAACAAAATGTCTTCCGTGTTTGCCTTTTGTGGTTCCATATCAAATATGAATGACGACTCAAAAAATTAAATTATAAATCAAAATGAAAAAAATATACCTGAAGAAGACAAAATTTATTATAGCAGTATTTCTAAAACAGTAAGTTAAATATATACAAAATAACTAATCAGTCAACGATTTTCCAATTATATAACAATATGACATAAATCCAGGCCAAACACGGACCAAAAAGATCCCATCAGAAGACACTATATCACTCCAGATATTCTAGTAGATTCTGTATTATCTATCATAACAGACTAAATCGTTTCTTTATGGAACCTTCAAATTATTTCAAATAGTAAATGTATATAAAAAAAAAAATGGAAGATGCTTTTTAATTCATGCTACAGCTATCTTTAGGAGCATCAAGAAACAAATCAGAATTGTTGTATCTACATATACGTAAATTTTATCTTCACCTGTGCAAGAATTAGTATGAATAAAATTTAGAATCTTGATGTTGACCCTAATCAAAATTTATTCTGATAAAATGAAGTAATAAAACGTTGGCATCAAACATCATATCGAAAACATGTTTTCAACAATAACATTAATGTGGATCATATATCCAGTAAACCAATAGTAGTCAAATCAAACCTTTTAATAAGTTGGATCATGATAAAAGTACAAAATTTATTGTTTTAGTGAAAAAAGAATAATCTTTGCTTGTAATAAACTATGAGTGTTAATATTTTTTAATGTACCGTTTTATTTATAGACTCCTAAGGATAAAAATCAGATTATTACAAATTGGTAAGTTTGATTAGATGATGTGTACTGATTTTAATATAACATTGGAAATATCGAATTTAAATCAATAAATTTAAAACTTGATTTTTAGTAGTAGACTAATTTAAACTTGTATGTACATTAAATTTCTATCTAGAGTGTAAACTGACAGAAATAAAACAAAACAATTGCGGCAAATGGCTCACAAGCTACAGAAGTTTGAGGAGGGAAGAAGTTATGCTTTGCCAACTAAGGATATCACGCTGCCAGATTAAACATGGCTGCCTTATGAGATGTCTCGAAGCGCCCACTTGTCAAAAATGCAATAACGTTTGACAAACAATGAAATAATTACTGGAAGAATATCCCCAATTTGAAAATTACAAAATAAAAACAGGCTTAGCCAAAAAATTAAGGGAAATCCTACAAGATACTGAAGAACGAGTCACAACTTTGTTTAAATTTTTGAAGTTATGAGATAATATAAAATGTAGTAAAACGCCAATGACCGTTGAGGTCAGAGGCATGAACGAGAGAAAAAAAATACTATCCTTATTTTCTTACTACAATAAGTAATAATAGGGTGTATAAAAAAGTGACCGTTTTTTAACCAAATATTTGTAATGTTATGTCTTTGATATAAAACACAATTAATAATCAAATATAGTCCATTTTTATCTTAATGCATTAACCATCTGCTAGTAAATTTCTCGCTCCCACGCTGGTACCATTCTTTGTGATGGCTCTCAAAGAACTCTTGGACCGTAATTTCAACAACAAAATTATAAAATTCTTTCTCTTGGAGAAATGGGCCTTGGATCTAAATAAATATTAATCCAATAGTGCGAGGTCTGACCTATATGGTGGATGAGGCAGGAGTCTCATGTCTGAAGAGTTTATTAATAAATTTTCAAAAATGCCTTACCTCTTAGCTAATTGCTTAGGAGAAAGTTCGTGACGGACCAGTCTACTGCTCTTTTCCACCGTCCTCATGGAGATTAGATGGCGACTAACAGAATGATGGCTAGCACTCGTGGATGGATTTAATTTAACAGCTTCCTGCAGAACCTCATCAATATCCATTAATGGTCGTCGGGTATCTTTCTTCTTTCTTTCCATCGTCGTATTGCCACTGCTAAATTTGTCAAACCTAAATCATCGAATATCAAACGCATCCAATCCTTCCAGTCCAAAGTCGTTCGAACAATAGTCAATGATCCATATTATGTCACGAACAAGACCCTACACCATGACCTTAACATACCATATGTCCATGACATCATCCCATCCAGATTCTCCAACTTTCACCAGAACCTCATTCATCATCCCAATCCTCTAGCGCAATCCCTATCCAGCTCCGAGCATCCATACCACCCCCCTCGAAGGTTGAAACGGCAGTGGCCTCGAGATCTTTTGTAAATATGCCTTTGGAGTCCTGGCAATGGCCAGCTTCTCCACTCATGTCCTAAGCGTCTGTGGCTGTAGTGCCCTCTTTCAGTCTCCACTGGCTTCTAATACTAGTGATGCGGCTGGAAAAGTGGCACTGGGATCTTCCGAAGTCTTGCTTTGCCTTTCGCGTGTGGGAGGAAAATCCTGGCTCGGAGATTCTTGGGCGAATGTATATATTGTATATAGTTATGATTGTGTTTAGAAGTTTTTATTTTATTTTATTTGTTTATTTTTATTTTTTATTTTTATTTACCTTCTTCATCACTATTATTTATTTACTTCTTATATTTATATTTATTTCTTTATTATTTGTATATATTGTATGAATGAGAACTTTTAGCCCTAATGCTTATAGCCCTCCAGCAGTGGCTGATTGTATTATTATTCAATAAATAGATTTAAAAATTTGTCAAACCAACGCCGCGCAGTGCGCTGGTCAAGGACACCTCCATATTCATATTTAATGATTTCACGAGTTTCTTCAGCGACTATGAATTTTTTTTTCCGGTAATGCCTTAAAATTAAGAGAATTTCAGGACAATGTCATGTTTCTTCTTTGAAACAAATAATAAAACTGATTTTTTTTTTTTAAAGTCGAGTGAGATCAAACAAGCTTGGAGAATACTCTAAAGGGATTATTAAGTATCGATAAGTATTAAACAGAATTAAAATATTCACAGTCCTTTGAAATCTAGAATTTGATAAAACGGTCATTTTTTTTATACACCCTATAATTTGTAATGATTTTGTCGGTTTTTTTTATGACAAGTAAGAAAAAATATTATTTGGACGTGTTAGACGTAAGGGTTTTAAATGCCGAACACGTAAGAACTCAGAAGGCTCGCTGTAATAACGACGAACCAAAGAACCGATAAAAAGACGGCTAACAAACACAAGTTGATCGAGGATGAACCACAAGGGGCAAGGATGTAAAAGACACCTGTCATTGGCCCGCAGATTGGCCAATAGATAGGCGCGTGCTTGGAATATATCCTTTACAGCTCCCCAGCTGTTTTATTGCTTCCTATCTACACTGCCCTGTCACAATTTATTACATTTCCACTTGGCTCCTGGGGATTTAATTAAATACTTTATTGGTGTTTATATGACCGACGAGTAAAATATAAATTCTCATATTAATATATCAAGTGTATTGTCCATCTTCAACTTTCAATTTTGATAAAACGTGTGAAAAAAGGATGGATTATAGTCGTAAACAGCCTCACTTAATTATATAATTCAGCGTTTCCGATGGAGATACGAATGAAGATTCCATTAATAGTTATCAACCGATTAAAGAAATTTTAATAATAATAGAATAGAAAATAAACTTTATCCTGGGACGAAGAATAACAACAATAATGTTTTTTTTTCTTTCCACATTGATCATTCCTTTTCAGAAATTATATCCGTCCTATATTATTTTATCTAAATATTGTTTTAAATTAAATTTAATATGTTCAAATTTTGTATCTGTTTAACAGGTTAGAGAAATGCAGTTACCTTTTTTTTTTTTTTCTCGTTACCCCTACCTCTCTATTTCTGACATATCTTTTGTTCAAGAGGTGCAACTAAACCTATTTAAACCAGAGTGGCACTGTCACGAAATACATTTTAAATCGTCAAGACCGGTTTCTAGGCACGAGAATACTAAAGTTTACGCCTTAACATGTTCGGCCATCACGACCTCATGTGCAGTTACCTACTTTTCTTTTTTTTTTTGGATCCTCCCCTTCCTCGCCGTTAAGAATATACGGGGTTTTCTCGAGACAGGGGGTGTGGGCGGGGATTTAAAAGACGAATTGGCAACGGGACGCGAACTCGTGACTATTTTTATATCATTTCACATATCAGGTTGCCGGGCAACGGTGGTGCTATGCACAACGTGTTAACCTATTTGACCACCCCACCCACATTTGCACTTACATACTGGGTATGGGTTTGAATTTGGCTATGACTAATAATTATTTATTCTGTTGTATCAGCCATATATCGATT